GCAAAAAAACAGATGATTTTCGGCAGCAAAAATGGCAAGGCTGAAGGTCAACGGTTCAAAGCTTGAAATCGTCATGACAACGCCAAGTGAGAAGAAAGAGAATTGGTTATCGTCCAACAAAGTGTCCCAGTTGGCCAGACCAGATTGTCAAGAGAAGTTGGTTGTGGGGAGTTGACATTCGCCGGTCCGAATGGCGAGTGTTGACAATGAGACCGACTGTGGTGCCGATTGGCCTGTTGCGGAGGTAGCAACACAACCGGCCGGTGAGGGAGACGCTCATGACACTTAAGACTGCGGAGCTAGGACTGGCGTCTTGACGACGGTGGTTTGATTGTCCGAATCCGGTGGCCAAAACGAGGTGAAAAGGTGACTGCCAATCGACAAATGCTGTCTTTTCAGCTCGAAAGAGGCCGGTCATGCGACAGAACAATTCCGCGCCCGGAAGTGGAGCCAGCTCGTTTGGGCAAGTTGTCAGCGCCACTTTCAGTTCGTGCAAAAGTTGAGCTCACCAGAAGATGACGACCAGTTTGTCTTTTTCCTGCAGGCGCTTGTTTTTGTCATACCCCATTTCGGTTGACCCAGTCCACGAGACCTCTTGCCTCGTTTCGGGTGAAAACGGGCTCAGCTTTCTGGCCTCCTTCGACGGACATCCTCAGGCTGGAGCGTATTCCAGCAAAAGTCAACAAGCTTGAACTTGTCTCTGGGATAAGTCCCAACTCTGAGGATGTTCATCACGTGGCATGAAGAAGGTCAGCTCAGCCCGTTTTCACCCGAGACGAGGGAGGATGTCTTGTCCTGAAGACAAGCGAGTGAAGGAAAAACGGACATCAGCCGTCGACTTTTGGTCTCTCGTAGACAATGAAAGTCTCCCCAACAATCCTCTCCCAATAGCGCCATAGAGACCCTATTACTCTTATAACTTTGTATTTTGGTCCTGTTGCCAGGGCGACCTCGATGAGCGCGACACGACACCATCCAGTGTTGTCATCATCAGAGGACATGTTAATTGTGGCGCCAGAAAATGTCTTTTGTACGCGACGAAAGAGCGCATTTCGATGACTCTCTTTTGATGACGTTGTTGGGCGCAATTTGATTTTGTGCCAAACAACATGATCCAGAGTTTCGTTGAAGAGTCGCACCGTTCTGCTCTTCTACCACGGCCTTCCGGTCCAGCTATACCACGAGACGTCTTCTCTCGTTTTGGCTAAAAATGTGTTTTTTCCTCCATCATTCCAAGGACCTCATCAAAGTTGTAACCTTTCTTACAAAAGTCTCACGTAAACGAAACGATTGCAGGATTAATCGGCTCTATCCTACAGTGTTGAGCTCATCTTCATTTGGAATTAAAGTTTTCGGGCAAGAGCTTTGGACTTCTGACCCTCCAGAAGACGACGGCGGATTCCTCTTGACCAACTGTCCATTAACTTCACTTAAACATTCTTGTCGACGTTGCTTCAGAGACATTTTGCTTCAATTCCACTGGAAAATGGGATGACAGTCTTGCATGTTTTCACTGAAATTGCAGGAACAGTGTCAACAATAATGTTCCCCTAAAGCCAATTGACAACTGCTCAAGAGGAATCCTCCGTCGTCTTCTGATGAGATCCACCTTTGAGTCTATTCATCGCATGCTTTTACTCAAAATGCAAGTGAACGCATCAATTGTAGACCAGGAGAATCTTCACAACCCACCTTTTCTTACACATCTTTCATGAAGGTCATTTATTTTCATAAAGATGAAATGTTTAGAAGTTGTTTATACAAAGAAAAATTGGGTTTCGAGGAATCTTTTGTTTCATAATTGTTGAGCTTACTTCCATTTCGAGTGGAAGTGTTGGGGGTGAAGAGATTCGAAGGTTGGTTCCACCAGAAGACGACGGTGGATTGGCTTTACCGAAAGATTCATGTCAATTTCCTCCAGCTCTTCCTTCCAATATGACCCAGTTGCGAAAACAAGGTCAAACCACGCCTGCACAATGAAAGGAGACCGCGACTATACAATAGACCATACCACGATGGTCTTCATACCTTCGATTGACTGTCTATTAATAGAAATATTCAGAATGGTTTGTTTATGTACCCTATTCTCGAGTGTCTCTGACTAAACCATTCTATGGTTAGCTGTTTTATTGGTACGAGTACATATGAAATGCAAGATATAACCCGTTGGTCTTCTTGACTTGGTGTCAACATGAGACCTTGACTTGGCATCTGACCCTTTTTCAGCTGAAACGATGGACGATGTTTCGTGATCTGCGTCGTCAGGAACGTCGTATTAAGACAAATCGGTTGACGTTTTCCAGTCAGTCAACCAACCAATCTCAGCAATGTTCACTTTCATTCCAATTTAACTTCTTCACAAAAATTTCGTTTCAAAAGAGTCGTCGAAGCCTGCCATTTTCTTCGTATTCACAAGACCAGCTTGTTGCTAAGCCTGACAATCCTTCCGAGGATGTCTTCGACGCATCAGGAAATGTACCATCGGTCCACAGTCCGTTGATGCACCGTGTTCCGACCACTCGGCCAGAGAGGGCAGAACAGAGTGTCGTTCGCATGGTCTCCTTGTCAGCCTTGCCTACGTTGGGCAAAACAACGAGC